AAAGGTATTTACTCTTGAAAACCTGAGGAAGTTCCCCGAGGGTTTAAATCAAGACGTACCGACCGGATGACACCACCGTTCAATCGGAAAACAAAAAGGCTAGGAGGACGATAAAGAAGAAGGTTGTGAAACTCACCCGAAACGTCGAAAACGGAGTTTTTCAGGAAAAACTTTAAAATGACTCGCACCGGAAAGTCCAGGAGTCAACAATGGGTTTACTGGCTCTGTGATTTTGAGAGAGAGCAGTCGACGATGGCAGAGGAAACAAGAACTCCGGCGAAAAGATCAGGAAAGGCGTACTCTGGGTCAAAGATCGGAATGGCAAAACGATGAAAACCAGAGAAGAACCCCCTTTATATAGGGGGAAATTGTCATCATTGGGCGGGAGAACCAAAACAGCGCATTTAATGCGCACGACGTCCCAAGCCGGGGAAAGCTGCTCGAGGCCATAATGAAGGACGGATGGCAGTTGGAAAACCCTTCGTCTCCTTACAACGCGTGTCCTCGGTGTCAGAAGATCGAAGGCTGGGGGGCAGTTGATGGGACTCTTCTGAAAAGCCCTAAGATGAAGACACGTGTCCTCGGATTTTTGGAAACAGTGTTGCCCGGATGTAAGCACCATCGGCGAAGAGCGTCCTCTCCCCCGAGGTACCTCTCAAAGGATCATGCATTCGGTGTATTATACAACACGTGTCCTCGGTCACCGTGTACCTCGGAAACATACCACCCCTTGGTCCCCGAGGTGAGCCTTTCCTCGGTGCCGAGGGTCACTCCATCCTGGACGCTTCCTCTACTCCCAGATAAAGTTACTGACGTACGGGACATCAGCCTATGCCAGTCTAGACTATTCATCATGACCTCGTCCTACACAAGTAATGTCAGAACACGCTGGAATACAGAAGTCATAGCCAATACGTGATGGACGCGTGGCATATGATATCACATCAAAAACAGACAAACCGCATGCTGCTGCTGACATGCGCTTTGGAAAGCAAATAATTAATTGCACCCTTCTGTTGACGAGACCGCATTCAATGCGGTAAGGTTCGGATATGAAAGGCAATAAATGCTCCTATTACAGAGCATTTATTGCATCCTTCCCGAAAGGAGCATATTGTACCGTCGGCGTCTCGACGGCTCAGCATTGATTGCTCGGGACCCCGAGCAGTCAATTAGAGATGACATTTCTCATCAAATCAATACACACGCTACCTGTGCCTGATAATCAACTACTGACCACACTGACAGCAATCATGAGCTTCTAAGGTATAAATACTCCTCCCAACAGGCAAAGCGGGGATGCAATCACAAACTCTCTACTACAATACAGACTTTCTCAGTGTTTTCTTCTTCCTCTCTCTTATTCAAAGACTGACTAGACCGTCGGAGGGGATACGCCGGAAAACACTCCGGCACCCTTCTAACTTGTTCCTCTTTATTCCAGGAAAACCTTTCAGACATACAAGATCGTTCTTCCTTTCCCAGGATCCTCTTTTGCCGTTCCAGGTTGCCACCGTACCTTGCAGGCTGTGTCAAGCAGCGTGTTTGGCCACTCAACCGGCTCACTCAGAGTTCACCAGGGGAGAGATCTGTTCCCAACATTTTTTATATTGTGCAGGATCTTGCACGCACAGTTATACACCACTTGCATTAATTATGTGGAATATTTTTGTTGTTTACTAGTTATACTTATATGAAATAGCTAAAAAGTAATTTGGTAGATTGTGAATTGTGAAATGATGATTGTTTTGTTGTTGGTTATATTTATTTGTAAATAACTAGGTTGTGATTTAATGACTTATGAATTATGAATTGGTGTTGGGTGTAGTTTTAAGTATTTAAATTGATTATGAGTGCCTACTAATATGAGATTGTTGAGACTACCAAACATAAACATTAGCGATATAATAATTAAAATTATTTGGCATAAAAGGTAGCAATGAGATTATTGAGACTACTAGCTGTAAACAACAGCAATATAATTGTCATGACTCCCAGGTGAAAACGGATAGCATTAACTGTTATGGGACATTGGATGTTGGGTATTGGATGTTTAATGTTGAATTTCATTTATAATGTGTATATGTAATATGATTATAAATGTTTTTTGTTTATGTATTTTTTTTTTAATATATTCACTGAGTGCGTGGTTTGCGCACCCCCAATAGTTATTTTGTTTTCAAGTTTGTGGAATTAAATGGTGGTCCACTGAACAGTCCAACGTGCATAATTTAATAGTTTAAGGGGCAACAAGAAAAATGTAATACTACAAGAAACAAAGTAAAACTAAGTCAACAGTTTTGGGGGTCAAAGTGTAATTTATGCAAATCCCCAAATAAAACCCAGAGGTGTTGTTTGGATCAAAATATTTGGGGGATTAGAGGGGAGATTGGATTAAAATTGTGAATGAGTCCACTTATCCTTGATTTGGTTAAGTTTTTAGAGATGAAATTTTCGTTGCTTTTTATTTCCTTAGTCGTATGTTTTGAAGGGTATAATCCCCTTTGTAGGCCTTTGAACAAACCCATGGCACATGTGGGATTGTGGAATGAGTAGTGGGATTAAATGCAAAATATCTACATCTATATATATATAGTATATTCTAGGGTTTTTTACCTTCAATTCTCCCTTTTATTCTAGGCAATCAAGGGTGGTTGCTCCTCTCTGAAAACCAATGATTTCATTCCTCTGTAAACCAACAGCCCTTCTTCACTCTGTTCTCAAGAGTGTCCATGGTTATATATATATATATATACACACACACACACATACATATTTGTGTGTTTGTGCGAGTAAGAATGTAGCGAGTTGAAACCCTTTTCATGTCTTTCTGTTTATACTTCTTCTTCTTTTTTTTCTTCCATTGTTGGTGCCATTGTTGTTGTTCTTGGTGATGGTAATGGTGGCGGTGGCGGTTGTAGCTCTGGTGATCCGACCAGTATATTTGAGAGGCTGGGATGATATGATATATTTTTTGAACAAATGAATCAAGCATTGAGATAATCTGACCCGTATCTTGGCGGGGCAAACCAAACGGTGTGTGGGCGTTTATCTCACATGCAATTGGTTTTGCATCCATGGCGTGAGTCATCCGTTCTCTTTGTCCGATCAAATATAGATCTGAGCCTCACACTTTTGACTATAATTTTTTTTGATTTTTTTAATATCTTTTTTTCATTATAATGTAGCAAAATTACCGTTTGTAACTTAGTAGCAAAGTTACCTTCGACTATGTGTACAAACGACCGTAATATAGAGACTTTTTATCTACTATTGACTTTTTTTTTTATGTACAAACATAATCATTCTCTTTTTTTTTTTTGTGTTGTACATTATTTTTTATTTTTTCATGATGCTTATTATTTTTGTGATTAATTATGTATTGTACAAATTAAATTAAATAAATGAACAAAATATTTAGGGAGAATTACATCTAGACCCTTTGAAATTTGTCATTTAATCACTTATACCTCCTAACATTTGAAAAATTACACACAGACCCCCTAAAGTTTATACGCACGTAACACTTAGACCCCTGCTGTAAATATATCTATCAATAAATTACACTTAGACTCCCTTAAAGTTTTGTAGATATATAATACTTAGACCGCTTAAAGTTCAAAATATTATATATTTTGACAAAAAATATTCCAATCAAAGATAGAATATCAATTATTTTATATTTTACAATTAAAATTCGTATTTTATTGTATCATTTGTGGAAATAAAATTAAAATTTTAATTTTTTCTTAAAAAATTGTAATTAATATACAATTATACTATCTATTGAAATAAAACTAAAAAAATCAAATAAATGGTCTAAGTCATTCACAATAAAACATAAATTTTTCATTCAAAATTCATGTTCTATTATATCATTTATTGAAATAAAATCAAAAATAAAATTTAGTTTTCAAAAAAAAATTAGAATTAATACATAATTATATTATCTATTAGAATAAAACAAACAAAATGAAATAAGGGGTCAAATTGTAATTGACACAATATTTTTTAGTTATAATTGGGGTGGTATTTTAATTTGGTCGTTAAACGACTAAGTTAAATTCTAATAGATAATATAATTGTATATTAATTACGATTTTTTAAGAAAAAATTAAATTTTTAATTTTAATTTTATTTCAATAAAAGATAAATAGAATATGAATTTTAATCATAAAATTTAAAATATTTGATATTTTATCTTTTATTGAAGTATTTTTGGTCTAACTATAACATTTTAAACTTAAAGAGTCTAAATATTATATACTTATAAACTTCAAGGGAGTCTAAGTATAATTTATTAATAAATATATTTACAACAAAGTTCTAAGTACTACGCGTGTATAAATCTAAGGGGATCTGTGTGTAATATTTCAAATGTCAGGAGATCTGAGTGATTAACTGACAAACTTTAGGGAGTTTAGGTGTAATTTTTTCAAATATTTATTTCAATATTTTGTAAAAATGCGTTGGTTCATATTTTTTTTCGTAAATAAGACAATACTAATGAATTGAACTTTTTTTCATTTCATACCAAACATAGTATAGGATTGAATAATATTTTTTTACATAATGGTGAAATGATCATTTTAATATATTTTATCTTCACACGTGCATAAGGCCCATAAACCAAATAAAAACTTATCCAAAGATAGAATAGAATTTGAATCTAAACTTTATAATCATATGATCCAAACCACTTTACAATGGGTAGCATTGAGTTCGGATTTAAGTCCATTCCAATCCGGCATGGATCCAAACACCACCAAAAGATTCCCAAGCAATACTTCCTCAACCATAGTCAACAGCGCCCATTCTTCTTCTACACGACCGTTATGACCTCCAACGCGCATACCATCTGCCCATACGGTCGCCGGCGACGATGACCTCTTGACGGAGATACTAATACGCCTACCCATAAAACCACTCCTCCTTTTCAAATCCGTTTCCAAACACTGGCTTTCTCTCATCACCAACCCCCATTTCTGCCGTCGCCGAAGCCGTGGCATTGGAGCTCCCTCTGGCCTATTCTTGTACCGGTCTTCGATTGACTTTAGCCTCGAATGTGATTTTATCCGTCTGGAAGACACAAGCCCGACGAAACCCCCCGTCGGAACTCTCACTTTTGTCAATTTTCCCAATCGAAGAAGAATCTGGCAGTCTTGCAATGGTTTGTTGTGTTGCTTTACCTTTGGAGGACCTGATGCTAAATGCAACTATCATATCTATAATCCTACTATCCACCGATTCACTACGCTTCCTAATCCTGCTGGTCGAGTTTTCAGGAACAGTCGCCGTGTTGGATCAGTTCATGCAGTTAATTTGGCCTTTGATCCATTGAAATTGCCACACTACAAAGCTGTTTGTGTTTATGACTCTCAGATATTGCCTGAACAATTTGAGATTGAAGTATATTCATCCGAAACCGGTCTTTGGAGGCACTCTGCTGATCCTTTCAGTGCAAAAGTTAATTTTGAGCTAGGAGTTTTCTGGAATTGTGCCATCAATTGGGTCAGTTACCAGGGTAATTCGTTGTATTTCAATGTTGATGAAGAGCGTCTTGGAACAATGCCGATGCCTCCACTGCCCTACGGTTGCGAGGGGAGGAAGCTCAGATATTTCGCAGAGTCTTGTGACCATCTTCATCTTATTGAGAGCTATGGTCCTCCTACGACACAATTCAATGTATATGAGATGGCCAAAGATTACTCTGGGTGGTCTGTGAAGTACCTTGTCGATCTTGACCCAGTTATGGATGCATTTCCAGAGTCTATAGTAGGCTTGCTTGATTACAAATTTCTTATAATAAGTTTTCTCAGGAGGAATAGTGATGAGGAGTCATTTCTTGTGTTGGGTATACCTGGTAAGGCCATTCGTTACAATTTCAGTGACAAGACTTTCAAGAAGCTTTGTGACGTTCCTCGAGATCATCTAAATTTTGAGCTTGACCATGCCCCAATGTTTGGATGGTATAATGCATTTCAATACATTGAGTCTCTCTCTTGTGTCACAATAAGGGATAGTTCAATGCATTTCACTGTAGAGTCTAAAGATGACAAGATATACACAACAGTCTTAATAGACTGATTGCTTTCATTCTGTTGTTGCCATAGTCATGGAATTGCAAGCTTGTGTGTTGTGATAATGCTTGTTTATAAGATTGTGTGTTGTGATAATGTTCCTGTTATGAACATTGTTATGTTTGTACTTTTCTTCTTTCTTTCAACTTGTGACACTGGGTATAGTGATAACCAAAGCTAACTTTACTATAAACTCAAGGTGTTTTATAGGCCACTAGCCTTAGAGTAGTCTATCGAACTACAAGACAATAGTGACCCCTAATCATTGATGAAGAGGAAGGCTTGGAAAGGGATCAAACCCCTGCACTTTTAGATTAAGGTGTTGTAGAAATACAAGCATTGATGAAATATTAGGCTTAATTACTTCTTCATTCAACTGGGTTGGTTTGGAGTTGTCTGTCAAACAAATTGTAATGAACTAGGCACCTCAGCATCATCTGATTCTAGTGGTGTTTCCACATCAAGATGATATGAAAACAGATTGGTTTTGTTCAATGACAGCTAACAGCACATTCTATATTAATCTTTGCAGCTCATAGCATGGTTTTAGGATTGTGCTAATCCAACAATATTGGGATAAGAAACGAATACAGTTCACTAATGAGCTTTGACTTTTTCATTTTTTTTTTAATTACTAGATCTCTGTTCACAAAAGATAAAATTGACCGGTTGTTCCATTATTTTAGTAATGCTCGATCAGTTCAGTTGTAACTTCGCATATAAAAGTTATACTTTGACCTTAAAAAATAGTAATTTTATCTGTAGAAGTCATAGCTTTTTATGATTTTTTCAATTGCAACACCTCCAAAAATTGTAAATACGGATACAGTTGTCTTCCTTTGATGAGTTTTGATTACACTAATGAAAATTCTCTTTCTTTTGGTTAAATCACGAAATGGCCCGGGTAAAGTTTTACAATTTATTTTTTCCTTTTTATTTTATTGTTTTAATTATTAATAGCTATAAATAACTTTTTTATTTTTTTGAAAATAACTGATCAAAGATTTTCATTACGTAAGAAAGTGATGGTTACAATTAATAAATAAACAAGCTTTAAGTTCGAGAGGAGGACAACCCACCAAACTCAGAGGGTGGGCTAAAAAATAACTCAAGTCATGATTTATGGGCTAAGAAATAATTTTTTGTGGATACAATACTAAAAATTTAATTTTCAATAACATGACTTTATCCTTTCTTGATGACAAGACTCAAATATCAAATCCAATAATCATAATCTATTAATCCCATGAACCTTGGTGGATACTTTCTTGATGACCATTAATCTCATGACCCTTGGTATAGACATGACTCATTAGAATATTCTCTTTTTATGAAAAGCAATCAGCTAGGGGTGTTTATGGGTTAGATTAACTACGGATTTTGTTATTTGGCCCGAAAAAAATAGTTCTGAAATTCGATAAGTCAAATAGTTGGCTCGCCTGAGGATGAGTCTAATATCTTTAAAAAAAGGGTTTGAGTTTCTCCCTAAACCCATTACTTGATCTGAAACCCACCTCAATAGTCCTTTACGAAAAAAACTCGTTAAAATCTTATCCAAGGGCTAACTCGTCAAGTCCGCCCACCCTTCTTTTGAAAAAAAATTATACTATTAGACCATTAAATTTGAAATTTTGAAATAAGTTTCTAAATGTCGAAATTTAAAGTTTTAAAAATTTATATATTATAAATAATGTATTATTTTATTTTTCATATATTAAGTAAATAATAGATAAGTGAGTATGTGTCAACTTAGTTAGGATGTATTTATTCTATTGAATGTAATTCATTCCTTATTTTATTTTTATCTATTTTAATTATATTTTTAATTTAAAAATATAATTTACAATAATATTAAGTAACAAAAATATTCATTATTTTTAATGAAATTGTATATAAAAAAGACCGCAAACAGGTTAGCCCAGCAAGCCCTCTCAGAAGATTCGTCCAATAGGCTCGCGGGTCAGGCTACGGATAGCCTATTCCTACCCGAATTCTAGCTCAGTCCGTCTAATAACTCACTTGAATAAGGGATTAAACTTACACTATCCAAGTCTGACCCGAAAAAATTTCACAGGCCAAACTCGGCCCGGCCATGGACACCCCTATAACCAGATATGCATGTCAATATTCAAATTTCTTTTCTTCCTATTTATATTAAAACCTATAAAAAATGTTTATATTCATGTTATTCGTACTCATGAACTTTCTTTGTGGATTAAGCCGTTCATGGCACCATCTTTTTTCGATTTTTCAATTATTGCTTTTTTTTAGGAGCTCCATACATTTCCATTAGGACTTTTCGCACTTGCTAGTCTCAAAAATTAAATTATTTATATTACATCTTTAATATATCAAAAATATTAAAATATAAATCTTCTATGGCCTTCCGATATTTTTTTCATAAAAAATCAGCTATTATTAATTGTTATGTCATCCCTGTAGAATGGCCGTCCAAAAC